AAAATTGATCTTCTCTCAAACTGCGGCTATGAGGGTAATTATATTCGCTGATTACGAATCTGACGTCCATTTTTGATGGAGGCGCGATATTGCGCCATTTTAGCCTGATCAGGCACCATTTCGGCGCTGCTTGAGCGCCATACATTTCATCCCTATTTTGAGTAGGAAGCTAATCAAAAAGGTAAATGATGACCCTGATGAGCACAATATCTATTTTTATCGCTGGCAACATTTGGCGTTATTTAACAGGCACTAACGTGAAATGCAAAATTTTGTCATCAGCCGGGACCAATCCCTCGACCGATTTTTCACCTTTTTTGGCATTCACAGGGCCGCTCAGAAAAAATGGAGCCTAGTTTTGTACTCCATGCATGTGCCCCTTTATCATGCAAAAAACCGTTTTCAAAAAGGGCTCCATGTCCTGAAAGACCTTCCTGGTTAGAGCTGACAGGTTGTTGCCCACCGTGATGTTTACCTTTTTGTTAGGCCATGTGGGGTGCGTATGGCTGCCTTAGCCCCGTCGTACATGTCCTTCACCAGCGAGACCAGGTGTTCTGGCACGTTCCGTTCTCTAAGCGCTCTCCATAGTACCGCTCGTGGTAGCCGGTCGAACGCCTTCTCCAGGTCGAGGAAGGCTAGGTAGCAGGGTCGGCGCTTTTCTCGATACTTCTCCATCACTTGCCTTGCGATGAAGATGGCATCCGTTGTAGACCTTTCGGGCATGAACCCGAACTGTTCCTGGGAGATGGGGACCAGCTCCCGCAGTCTCGAGTCGACCAGTCGCTCGTACAGCTTCATTGTATGAGCAGTCAACTTGATCCCGCGGTAGTTGGAGCAGTCCATCGCGTCACCCTTCTGCTTGAAGATGGGGACGATAGTACTTGTTCTCCAGGCATCTGGCATCCTTCCTTCCGCAGTTATGTTGTTGAGGAATCGTGTGAGCCATCTTATCCCGTATCACCCGAGCGCCTTCCATGCCTCATTGGCACCCCATCTGGACCAACCGCCTTCCCAACCTTCATCTTTGCTACTTCTCGACTAACCTCATCCTCTGTCCACAGTGCGATGGGGCCAGACGTTGCCTCTGCTTGTGGAGTGTCCTTGTGGGGGAACTCCTCGTTCAGGAGTGTTCTGTAGTACTCCTCCCATCTCCTCTTAACTTCGGCTGGCTTCCTCTGTATGACGCCGTTGCTGCTTTCTACATTCTTCACCACCCTGATATCTTGAGTGGCTGATAAAAGGCGCTAGAACGCAAGTGTCGCGAAATTCATAGCTCGGGCACCAGTGGTCGTCAGGAGTTGGTTTCAAGATATGATATAGGGGTGGGACGGGAACATATTTGGTGGGGTAAAGAAAGTGATAACAACTGATAAGGGCTGATAAAAGGCGCTAGAACGCAAGTGTCGCGAAATTCATAGCTCGGGCACCAGTGGTCGTCAGGAGTTGGTTTCAAGATATGATATAGGGGTGGGACGGGAACATATTTGGTGGGGTAAAGAAAGTGATAACAACTGATAAGGGCTGATAAAAGGCGCTAGAACGCAAGTGTCGCGAAATTCATAGCTCGGGCACCAGTGGTCGTCAGGAGTTGGTTTCAAGTGTGAAGGATACGGTACGTTAAATCAGCATGAGATGCTTTCCAGGCTGGACGGCAGAAGATGAGCGACGGAGATAACGCGACGACCCGAGGAAATGGCAACAAGGCGAGGGCAGTCGAGATACCCGCGGGGAAGCCGCGAGGTCGCGTCATCCGTCCGGACAGCGCCGCCAGTACCATCGTCCATCCTGCCTTAGATAGCCTCTCATCGCTTTCCTGCCTCAAGCGTAGTCACCATCTACTACATAAACGCTCGGGCGATAACTTCGCTATATCCAGTGTTCCAGTTATGTGCCTTTCGTTCATTATCTAATAAACCTATTATCTTATTTCGTGTATGGGCTCAGCACTTACTGGTAGCAGCGAGTGCAAGTCCTTTTTTCCATCGGACTCCTTTTCTTTCCTCCTCTAGTGATTGCTATTTTTTTAGTCGCATCTGGAAAACTCCTAGGGCCCACCTGGGCGGATACCCCTGTTTCTCGCTGGGTTCGCGGGCACGGTGAACGGTCTGGCCAACCGTTCCTCCGTACTCGCTGCCATACTTAAGACGGATGGAATCTTCAGTCCGAAGCACATTGAAGTTTTTGCTTGCTTTCGCTTTGAGTTCGCTCGTCCAACATTCAGATTTTGAACCACGCTGGTTGCTTCAGAACGAACGTCTTCCACCCAATCGATGCGACTCGGTACATCGAGCGCCCTTTCTCTGTGCCCCCGCGCGCTTCTCCTTGTTTTCTCGATTTTTGTTGCCGAACGAGTCGATCGATCTGATTTATATTCCCAGATAGAGTGCTTACGTTGCTCACTCGATCTTCACGCCTCGGAGGTCGACATCGCATATTGCTCTGCTGACGATTGAGGTAATTCCTTTTCTGTTTTTTTTTGTTTTTCTCCTCCTTTTTTATTTCTATTCCTGCAGGTTGAAGCTCCCACGTTCGTATAGGCCTACGGTAGGGGTGTAGTCCGTGACACGGTTTACTCCCAAGGTCAAAGCAGTAACGTTGTATTCCCGCGGATGACTTATAAGCGTACGGTCGTTTTGTGTATGGCGAAGCGTTGAGGAAAGGTGCCGCGTTTGTTCATAGGAGGATCCTCAGGGTGGTACTCAGTACACGGCAGTGATTAGTGAACATGGAGACCGATCTTAAGACCGTTGCAGTACCTAACTGCTGGATATAGCCCGACGTTTGTTGAGAAACGATAAGGTAGACCCATGTATTATCTTCGATTCGGTACGGTCTGTTAGCCTAGTAGAGGGCCCGTCTCAGTTCAAGTTCTGCCCCGCTTCGCCCCGAGTTGAGCTGTCAGGTTGCTTTCATGTTTTTTTTTACCATATATTCCCGCAGTTTTTCATTTTTCTTCGCTTCTGAAATCGTTTGCTTTGACGTTGACCGCAAAGCGGCTCCCACACAATGTCTCACATTCCTTTCCTTCGAGTCAGGCGGAAATTCTTTTGATGTAAGGATTAGATAACAGCATGCGCGCTACTGTCAGCCTGAGTTTTTTTAAACAAAACCTTATCTCCACTTTATCTCGAGCTCTTTGTTTTCCATTCTGTGTGAAGGCGTCGCTGTCCCCTGCTTTTGCGTATATAATCGGCTCGTAATTCTAGCCGGCATCCTTGTGAATTCTGCTTCACATCGTACTTGCTTTTGAACGTTCTGTTCTATTCTTCTGTCGTATCTCGACGCTCCCTCAGTTCATCGCACCCTTGCACGGTATAGTAAGGGTCAGTAAGAGATGTCGCGCGTTTCAGGTCCAGTGACCCGCTCCCAGTGCCCACGCTACGGAGGACCCAGGTCCCACCTCAGGAGACTATGGCAGAGCTACCCCCGCAGCGCCCAAGTTCGTTGAGGAGATCACGTCTACCCTGATCAATTTAGAGGATGATGACCCGGTGTTGGGCCGGGATGCCAAGGAGCTCCGAGACGCTACCGCCACTGCGACGACGGAGGTATGGCATGACGCTCATCATTCTACGAATTCACTGGCTAAGCAGATCTCCGCCAATAATGTCAGTCTCCTTTGCGAACTGAACTCTTCGTTTGCAGCGGTGGGGGAACGCGTCCAGGCGCAGCCGGTCATCGCGTCCTGCTTCCCCGAAGGGGCTCTTCCCCAAGCTACAACCTTTTGCCATCAATAGCGAGTCCCCACAGTTTTCGCTGTGGCTCCGCCGTTTCGAAGACGTGTTACGCATGCGGGCTACCCCGCTCACCGACGAGCAGAAAGCTAACTTTTTGATAGGGTATCTCGATGGGCCGGCGCGCGAATAAGTGGAGGAGTTGTCGGAACTCCAGCGCATAAGCTATGGCACACTAGTTACCCACTTACGGTCATTCTTCGAAAGCCCGCGGCAGCGACACTTTGGCCCTCCAGGCTCTTTCGACATGTCAGCAGGGACTCTCCGAGTCGAGCACTACATTTGCGGATCGTCTTCGCAACCTCGTTCGTGCTGCTACTACAGGCCAGGACCCCAACACTCAGAAAGAACGTATCTTGGAGGAATACCTTGCACGCCTGCGCGAGGACATTCGTTATTTCGTTCGCTTGGACAACCCCAGTACATTCGAGGCTGTTGAGCGCGCGCAGATGGTGGAGCAACTCCTAGCAGAGGCGGCAGTCGACCGCCTAATGCACCCTGTCACTCATACTAGTAGTGAGCAGTCCAGGCACTGTCCGCGCAGGTGGCCCGGATGGGTATTGAACATCACCGGCGTCCACGCAACACCCGTCCCTCATCGGATCAGCGCGCTAACCGTTTCGCTACAACTCAGCACAGAGCAAATCGGTCCATGGTGACGGCGCACCCACCACAGCAGTACGGCTCTAACAACCGATGCTTCAATTGCGGTGGTCGTGGTCACCTCTCGCGGCAATGTCCGTCACCTCGCAATAGGGCTCCGTCTCGTAACCCCCGTCCCCGTCCTGGGAGGCAATCAGGAACCAACGTGATGACTCTTACCAGTTCAGCACCCTCCGCCCCCACCGAATCAGGCGCTAGTTCCGGTCCGCAAGGTGATCGTCCAGCTGCACAAGCGGAACTCTCCACTTCCCGCGCTCAAATTGCGGCGTTGGTGCAGCGCAACCAGGAATTGTCCCACTCTCTGTACCACCGTAAGGCTTCTCCATCTGTTACTTTCTCGCCTACTGTTTCTCCTCTGATGCCTGGTGTCCTTTTCCTTCTTTGTGTGGTTTCTTTCGCTGGTTTTGCACAGGCATGCTCTGCCTGGTTCTGCCCTCACAATGGCAGGGATCGAATTGTGCATATCCCTTTCTCGTACAACTGCTCCCATATTTTGCCACCTTTCAACGCTACAATTGAGAGCCTTTCTATCAACATCTTTCGTCCAAATACTAAACGTTACTCTTCTCCGGCGTCTTGGTGCAAAATAGTGACGTCTGCGGCCACCTTTTCGATTAATTTCTTTGGCGCTCGGTCTATACTACAGTTTACAGCGCAGACAGTTACTATCGAGCAGTGCCGTATAATGGCATCCCATTACCACTGCGATCACGGGAGTATGGTCAGCCGCGATGGCTCTTGGGGTACGACCAATGAGTTAGTGGTAGATTGACCCTCCGCCCCTTTTGGCTGCTGCACGCAGCATACGGTGACCGTTACAAATTGCCTTCTCTTTCCAACTGTGGTCTATGCCCAACTTGGGGACGGTTTTCCAGACTCCTTAGCGGGTGACATGAGCACGTGCAGGTACCGCACGGGTTCCTGTACATTGCCAGATGGGGCGTGTGAGCGTGTGTTCGCCACGTTCCAACTTATCCTTCGTTCCTACATGGATGCTGCTCTGTGCGACTGGGATCTGTTTATTCCTGCCTGCACATTCATGTACAACACCTCGACCCACAATAGTATCCAAAATACAAATACGATGTTTGGAAGGGATTTACCAGGGTCAAGCGAGGCGTCGAGGAAAATTTGGAAATACGACCCCCCCCCTCCCTCCGCCGAAGGCCGAAGTCCATGAAACAACCCTCTTCAAAAGCCGAACTATGAAAAAGTTGTTTAATTCTCCACCAAAACTGCTCAACGGAGCAAAAACGACAAACTAGTCACTAGAAAATGGCGTACTATGACAACATCTCTTCTTTATTTATTTCCTCCACAAGACTTACCAAATTCTAGTACTACACAGATTATGGTTCTCAATTTACACGTCCCCCTTTCGCTTGAAAGAAGCCTTGTAACCGCCTTCGCCAGCTGTGTGTTGACTGGACTTTGGCGTTGACCGTGGAGCAGCTTATTTACTATTGAAATTTGAACAAATATTCAAATGATTATAACTTTCTTCAAAGTTAACGAATTTTCAATCTGAAAGCAGATTTGGGAGTTTTGTGAAGAGCTTTTTCTAATCAGTACTGAAATTACAGGAAGTTATAAGAAATAACAAATTTAGATCAAATAACGAGGAAAATTCGAGACGAGCACGAGTTTTTACACTTTCCGGAGCAATAACTTGCTTCATTTCCGTCAAATTCAAAAAGTTGATACGTCATACAAAACTAGAAGATTTTCTCTATCAAACGGTCGCTAAAGCAGCTTCATACGTCCAGTACTCAAAAAATGGCCACGTTGAGGATTTTTGCAAAATTAACGAGGAAAATTCGTGATGAGTGCGAGTTTTTACGCTTTCCAAAGCCATAACTCCGTTCAAACTCATGCAATCTGGAAAGTTAATACGTCATCATAAACTAGAAGATTTGCTCTTTCTATAGGCAACTAAAACTGCTAAATACGTTCACTATTTAAAAAATGGCCACGTTGAGGATTTTTGCCCGAGTACCGCCGAAAGGTACTTTTTCGCTACATTAGCACTATCCCAACGACTATAGCTCCTTGCAGGAGCGATTACATACTGAAGTAGGAGCAGATTCAAAATCCTCGTGCTTTTCTCTCTGCAAAAAGTGTAAAATTGTTTAGCGGGTCTCAACTTTAAAGGTTACATGCTTGTGAATTTGACGCTGAAGGCTGCGTTTCTTGTTGAATAGTGTACTCCTCTCTGTAATTTAACATGAACTCTTTCAGAACCCTCTTGATTCTTCCTGAATTAAGATTCGTTATCAAGATAGCCGTAGCTGAAGCGCGCGCAACCAACTGGGCCCACTCTGGGATGCGCCGTGTGCTTCACATCTCGTTGGATTTGAGGACCTACTTGAAAGATAAAATATCCCTAGAAAACGTGCGAAATTTCGGATCCTTTGACTTGTGTGGTGATGAAACACTAAAGTCACTAAGAATTGCTAAGCGGACACCTCTAAATCACGAAGATTTTGTGTGGACGGAATCAATTGTTATTGGAAATACTCTGGCCTGGTATCGATTCGATCCTTAATGTTTGTCCTCCGACGATGATCCTACTGTATCAATCGGGCCCGATCTCTCCCCAGCGGGCCAATACGACCCCCCCTCTGTGACATGTCGAGGATTCCTCAACGCACGCTTGACCCTGGTCCTACTTTAACCGGTTCGACCTTCTCATTCGTCATCCGCGACGCCACGTTCCATCCCCAAAGTTTCATCCACCCAACCGTACTGAGCGCCACTGCCTGCCCGTGCCTACACCTACAGCGGGACCAATACCATATCAATATACCTGCCAAGCACGTGTGAATATAGAGCGCACATACGCACAACCACACCAGCCCGCACTTCAGCTACCGGTGGGACAGGTTTACCTCCACGGAACTTCACACCCTTCCTGGTTTCCTCTCAAACTCTGCTCCCCTGGCTTGACCAGTTCCGCGTAATTTCGGCGCAACATCCACACGTCGTCATCGTCAGCATCTCTTCCCCATGGTCCCCGCCCAAAAAGGTTCACTTGAACCAAGTCAAGAAGTGCCACCTTTTATCCGGACCAGTATTCACCACACCTTGGCTTCCCGAAGAAGAGCAGGCGGCCTTGACCTGTTGCCAGGCAAGCGATCACTTTATCCCTGGATACACACGTTCCCGGGTGATTTATACACGACTCCAGATCGTACGAAGTTATTACTACAACACAAGATTCAGAAAGCGTATGAACTCCCTTTAGATACATCGCCGCTACGTTCTACCTTCTGGTCATAACTTGGCCCCAGCCACCATTAACGCTATATCATTTCTAGGACCTCTTTTTTCTTCTCTTCCCGTAAATCTGTCTCAAATCAATTAATGGAGGACATTTCAGACTTACTCGTTGCCTCGGGTGCGCGCCGTAACGACATTCGCTTGGTGAACATCAACTATGGACTACGATCTCAACCCGATCATAATAGCCAACAGGCAGGTACAGGGGCGAGTCCCCGTTCAAATTCTACTGGCCATATCTTGGCTGATCATTCAGATCATTCACACACGGTTCAGTCTGACCATGACTCTACTGACAATGTGGTTCAAACTCCCACGCAGAGTAATAATAGTGACTCTGCGGAGGAAGCATCTCCTTCGGACACCCGATCAACCTTCAGGTGTTTCAGATCCCGACGCGTCCGATCGAGGATCTTCCCTCCTGGAGGACTCGCCTGACGTTGATAATGGTTCCGGCACGTCACCATCACCAATGGAAGTTACCGAATATACTCCCGTACCCAGCCCTGAACCCTCTTCCCCTGCACTCCCTCCCCTTCCACAACCACAACCACCACCCCTTATTCCCCGTCGGCATGTGCTGGCCCCGTACAAGGACCGCTCGTACAACATCGGCTACGCTTATTCCCAGCGCCAGCGCCCCACAAAACGGCCTCCCCACGATCCCTCTGGTTCTACACCTCCCGCTCCCCCCCCGCGCTCCCGCAGAGGAGCCCCTGGTCGACGACCGTTCAGTAGAGGTAGAGCTGGCCGCCAGGAAACCAGCCCCCCCCCCCAAAATAAGTGGTACGACTGGCGTCAAAACCTTCCGAAGACGACTCCCGCTGGCTTTACCCATCCCTTAGCCGATGCCCCCTGGTCTCTGTGCTCCAACGTCCCAGATATGCGAACCACCAGCGAGCTCCCTCTCGACAAATCTAGCCAATTCCCCCTGGGGCATACCACGCTACGCGCTGGGTCCGCTCGCTCTTTCCCATCTATATCCGTGGCTTTCCTACTTCGATGAACGAAATCCCGGTCACGGAGCTTCAAACGCTCGAAGCGGCGATCGCATTTCGGGAAACCTTCTTGGAAATTCTCAACAAAACCCTTCGCGGGGAACCCCCGACCTCCAAGTCAGCGTCAGTTATGGCTGGTTGACGGTCCACTTTTACTCGGACCTTAACCCATAACGGATGGCCAGTGTATTTATTGCGTGCGCCACACAATGTAAGGTTTATGTAGGCTATGCGAACAGCAGCTTAAGACGAGCAAAGAGGCGTCCTTGTCTCCTCATCCAAAAAAAACTCTGAACAAAAACACCACATTCGTAATCCGATCGATCTCCTTGCGCTCAAAACAGGTGCAAAGAATGAATAACTGCAGGAAAAATCATCTGAACAAAATGCAAAACAACAACCCCGAGCAAGGATAAGGCTGTATTTAGGGGGAGGGGTCTCTGGAAGACCATTCATCAAATAGTAAGCTTATGAAAATTAAGACTAAATGTGTGTAAATTTATGTTAGGTTTGTCCAAAATCCACTCGTCCAGGTCCTGGGAAGATATGTTATTCCGCATTGCTGAGAGTATATACGGGCATATTAAGATTGTTAAAAAAGTAACAAAAACGAAGGAAATAATCGTGCGCCACCATGTGGCGCACGCCGTCCGTTATGGGTTAAAGCCGCCTCCATCCCGAGGCTCTCGTCTGCGCTGTCTCGCCTTATAAGCGGCTGAAAACCAATTTGATCTCTCACATCTGAACTTTTGCCACTCTATAATAGGCTCACACCACCCTCCCCCTCCAAGGTTCAATCCTACGGCTCTCACCTCCTTCCTAGGATTTGAAGCCAAGCTAGAAGCTATTCCAAGTGTTTGTACTCTCTGCCATTCGTGGCGACCATAGAGAGAAATTCAAGTAGTCCGCAATCGGCGATGGCGCGTATTTCGAAAGTTTGGAGAAGACATAGCGAAAGAGTTCCTCAAAGGTTATTCCTCAGTGGTGTCTAAAAAGTATACGGGCGAAAGAAGGGCCCAGGGGGGGCACGCGATGGCGCGGCGCTATATTCGTCTGCTCCTCCAGGGTTTAGTCACCAAAGCGTATTTTGAAACTGCTACGTGATGGCGAAAGAGTAACTGTCCCAGTGGATTAGGCCCTGGAGGAGCAGACGAGCAGAGCGCGCTATCGCGTGCTCCCGCTCCCTCCGATTTTCGCCCGTATACTTTTTAGACACCACTTACAGAATAACCTTTCAGGACTCTTTCGTCATGTCTTCTTCACACTTCCGAAATACGCGCCATCGCGGATTGCGGACTACTTGAATTTCTCTCTATGATCGCTACGAATGGCGGAGAGCACAAACAATTGGTGAACAGCCTCTAACTCGGCTCCAGATCCCAGACTGAATGAACACAATAGGCTAACCTTGGGGGGAGGAACTCCCGGGTGGGTGAGCCCATTACAGAGTGGCAAAAGTTCAAATATGTGAGATCAAATTGCTCAGCCAACACATAAGGCGAGAGAGCGCAGACGAGAGTCTCGGATTGAGGCGGCTGAGGTCCGAGTTAAAGTAGCCCGTCAACCAGCGATCGCTGACTTTGAGGCGCACCACGAGAACAACGCTGCGCTATCGTGTGCCCCCCCCCCCCCCCGAGTTATTTTAAAAGGGATTCTCGACAAAATATGCACTTGCTACTAAAGTGTAAAACCAGGGTACAGCGTGCGTTGAGGAATCCTCGACTCGGAAGGGGGGGTGTCGTATTGGCGCTGGAAGGAATAGGTCGGGCCAGATCGATGCATTACTGTCGGACGACAAACATCAAGGATCGAATCGATGCCATTCAAAGCCCAGAATTTCCAGTAGCAACGTTATTCCGCCCACGTAAAATTTCCGTGATTCAAAGAGGTCCGCGTAGTAATTCTTAAGTACCTCAGTGATTTTACTTCGAAAAATTCGAAATCGCACGTTTTTCAACGGATATTTTGTCTTCCGAATGAATCCACCAATACGAAAGGATGTTAAGCAGACGACGAGTCCCAGATTGGGCCCATTCATTGCGCGCGCTTCAACTGCGGCTTTCTGAAGAGAAAATCTTGATTCAGGAAAAATCAAGAGGATTCTGGAAGGGTTTGTGCGGAATTGAAGGGAGGAATACACTATTCAACAAAAAAATGCAGCCTTCAGCGTCAAATTCGCAAACATATAAGGGTTTCGTGAATTCCGAGTTCGCACTCATTTTTGCACAGAATTGCCCCTAAAAGTAGTAATAATCGTTGAAAAGAAGTCAATACAGTGAAAAGGTACCTTCAGGCGGTACTCGGACAAAAATCCTCAAGATAGCCATTTTCTGAATACTGAACATGTTGAGATGGTTCACTTCATAAAGCAAACCCTCTTGTTAATAATGGATGAGGATGAGGAGTTATGGCTTTGGGAAATGTAAAAACTCGCGCTCATCATAAATTTTCCTCGTTAGTATTGCGAAAATCCTCGATGTAGCCATTTTTTAAGTTCTGAACATGTTGAACTGGTTCAGACGTGAATGCCGATGCAAATCTCTTAGTTATATGAATTTTAACTTTTCAGAATGGATGAGGTTTAACGGAGTTAATGGCCAATGGACCGAAAAAATCTTTGTTTTCCCGCCGCAGGGCAAACACCTAAGACGACGGCTACAGAAATTGTGATAGTTTTCTGGGGCGCATGTTGCTCCAGGGGCGGGGAGGGGGGCACCCCGTATCCCTGCGTCAGATTCACCGAAGCACAGTTTTTAGAATAAAACTCAGAGGAGAAGAGGATTCTGAGGTGCGTAAGCAGTTCTCATTGTCCGGTGTAACGTTTTCTGCCAACGAAGTGGTTAGCTGATTGTATTAGGCGTTGCAAAAAGTTCTGTCGTTTTCTGACACTCCACTTTTGGATGCTTTATTTTTCTTGAAATTTAGGAAACTGCAATTGGTATGGATATCATTTAAGGAGATTTCCTGCTCTATCCAAAGCTCAGTTCAGCTTTGTCCTAAACATTTTTTATAGCTTTTTCCAAAGGTTTGAATGCGGAATACTCGATGAGCAAGTTGGCATGACTTTCTTTTTCTAGCTTTGAATAGACCTAAAAGTAGCGAGAACAGTTCAAGATACCAACGATGCACTTGGCCTAGATTCGCAATATATGTGCTCAGAGGCAGTAGTTCAAAAAGCTACTGTACCAAAAGCGAGAGCTTTGGGTATGATGATAGTGGTCGTCAGATATAGGACGTTGTCACCCATCTAACCAGAAGTTCTGATTGAGGCAATCGTGCTTAAGACCATAGAGGAGGTTTTGCCCAACCCGGGCGTATACAGTCTGTGAAGCCAAGCTATGCGGAAGTAACTAGAAAATCCAAAAAATTTGATGAGCGTGCCGCGACATGTGACCAATCTGAAGGGTTGTCCATCAAAT